ATAATTTATGAATTTGGTCTTGAACATTTTAAATTTACCATCTATTGAGATATAATTATAAAAATTAAAAATCTATACTTTAAGTGAATTTAATCAAAATTTTTAATATATTCTGATAAATATACAATTTTGAATACAATTATTGAAAATAAATTACCTCATATTATAATGAAATAATAAAAACATAATTGCAGTATATATAAATAATGTTTTAACAAAATCTTATATGCTAATAACAAATATGTGTTCAAGTAAATACATACTACAGTTTAAAATAAAAAAATGTCTCACATAATAACAATAAATAATTAACTATACTGCAAGTGAATATATGTTTAAACAAAAACTTAAATATTATGTTCTAGTATATGTTCATTATATAGGATGGAAAATTGATATACAAATACAATTGATATACATTTGATACGTAACAGTGTGAAAATGTTGTGACTATATTTGGAGAATAAATGTTTTCAAAATAACTGTACAATATTTTTAGATAAATATTTGTAGTATAACCTGATTAAAATATTGTGAAAATATATATTTTTTCAAATAGCTGTGTGGATAGGTAACTGTACAATTTTAGAAAACCCTGGATGGCATTATTTTAACTTAAATTATTAGATAATATACAGAACTCTAAATTTAATAAAAATTGAATTTTATGTTGCATACACTGCAGGATATACATATTATTTTGAGAAGTTTTTTTATTTTTTAATCGATGATGTTTCATCTGTCTGTACCTATAACCACGATTAAAGATATCTTTATATCTTTAACTTTAATCGTGCCTATAACTGACAACTGTCGCTGAAATATTGTCCAGTATGCGGAAATTAATTGATGATCATAGTTTATAATTATTAGCATAACTGATAATAATGATTTATCATTACAGAAGAACGAGATACCTAACCATGGTTTTAAAAAAATTAATGAATATAATTTACAAAATACACTCTATGAAATTAAAACCGYATAAATAATTGACGATATTATTGATCACAATATGTATTTACCACTACGTAACGTTTACCTAACTGTTCAAAATGTTATAGAAGTCTAAATGCGGAATGCCTTTATAGATACCCACAAACAGTCTTAACTCTTAAGTCGGTCCAAAAAATTGGCGTGAATATACGAGTAATACACTCGGCACCCCCAACTCACGTTAAGAACGAGACTACGCTTAGTCTCTACAGCTATTTTCAAACAACTCCACGACATTAATCCGATCAAGAATTTTGCACTATAATCTTAAAAAAAAATACTCAAATTGTCTTTACATCTGCAGGGAACTACGTCGTTATTAGCATCCTAAAAGCAGCTATTATACGTCTCTGGAAATCAGCAAAAACTAGATACCACTGCCACGGAAATCCCAAAAATAATTTAAAAACATAACGCCACTATTATAGTTGGCCGGGTAAAGTTAAATTCCAAAAAATCAATTTTCGAGCAAAAACATTAAAATAATAATAATATGATGCTCTGCAGTTTAACTTGAGAAACGTAGTCGGCGGCTGACAGTTATAATATTATACAGATAAATATATTATATTGCTGCAGAGTAGAACAGTGTACAATAGAATATCTAAAATTATAGTTACATACTACACTTGAAAAAACGTTTAAAACGCGTTGATCGCCACGGGGGTTTTCACTTTGTAGTTTGTTACTCAAATTCTAAATCTCAAAAAATTGCTAAAAGTTTATTGYGAGATCTTATATTGAATCTCACTTATACAAATTTTCTATCAATGAGATCTCGTGTTAGGTCTCAATAATTGGTATTTTCTCATCGGATTCTAATTCTATTGTGTTGCCATTTTCAGTTGGTGTTTGTATCTTGAAAATACCATATTTAGTTATTTTTTTTTATATCAATATTTTGAAATTATTGATAAAGGAACATTTGATACTGTTGTTATTGGTAACTATAAACGTATAAATTTTTTACTTTATTTATCTGATTACCAAAATTGAATGTTTAATGTGTTTTTGCCGTAAAGTTAACGGATTTATTAAGTTTTTTTTATGTAGTTTGTGACAAATAAACAAAATTAATGACGAGAATATAACTGAAATGTTAGAATCTTCATTTGACTACAATTTAGACCAGTAGTCCTCAACCGGGGTGACATGTCACCTAAGGGTGACATGGACCTAGCTTAGGGGTGACGCAGAATTTTAACAAGAAAAGAAAAAAAATTTAAAAAATTAATTTTTCCAAAAACAGTCATATAATTTCTTATAATAAATATATTATACACCTATTATACCACCAGTCATGTGCATAACATACCTCAAAGTTCGTATCTAGTTCTAAATTTTAGACGATAGTGACAATGACCCAAATTGGGATCATAATGTTKAAAACATGTCTACAAGTAWGTTATTTCACCTGCAGTTTAATGTACTTTGATCTCACTTACATATGATTTTTAAATGTTCTGAATGAGTAGTACTTCTAGTAAACAAAATATCAATAATGATGTCAGAGTCTCAGACATGTTAACATGTCTATACGTAACATATTTTGCTTGAAATTGTCTATTTACTATTTATAATTAATAATAAAATACACTTTTGAAATTGAATTATCTGGAGTAGATGCAATTGCTTACAGTGATGAAAATGATGATCCAAATTTTGGTAAATAATAAACAAGAATTTTTTTTTTTTATATATTGGTACAGCATCAACATCGTGGTTACTAGCTTACAATTTATTAGGTYACATATTATAGGGATTTTTTACATGATTTAAACAAGAATTTGCATTAGTGGTTTTTGAACATTATTTTATTATTTAAAAGAAAAAGTGGCATAAATTCACTTTAGCTACCCAGCACATTTTTTGAATTTTTTTTTTCGAAATATACACATTTCAGCGAGTTAAGAACGATGGTACAAAAAAAACTGCGCGGACGCCATTATTTTGGAAGTTATAGCCATCCAAAGTTTGCGATTTTACGTTAAYACGCATGCGCGCAACACTGCTTTATAATGAGCCGTGGAGCGTAGCGTATACACGCGTAATCACTGCAACTTTTAATTGACATAACTTTTGAGCGAGTGACCACGCTAACGGCCATCGAGTCTGGCGACGGGAGGTCCCTTGAGTTTGGCGACCGGAGCCGATAGGCGAAGGGAGCCCACCATACTTATGTTACCTACTTTAACTAACAAGGCTAAAATTATACTTGTTAGGTCATCCGTCTGCCCGCAGGGCAGGTATGCTCTCCTGAGTAAACCTATGAAAAAACCCGTGGTGGTGAGGACAAAGTTTGGTGAGATCTCATGGCGGTCAACGTGCAGTTAAAACGAAAACGGTCACTCAGTGCTCGGTTTTAGCGACGGTAAATATTATACTCTTAGTAAAATTACAAAAATTAAGTCTATCCGAATAAAATTTCATCTCTATGCGTACCTGTTTCAGCTTTTCGATCGGTCGCGTCCACCTGAACCACCGCGTCCACTTGAACGGCCGCGAATTATTTATAGTTTATACGCTACATAATCACTGATAATCGAAGACAACTCGATGACTTCTTCAAGGACGACTTTCTTTGAAATTTCTTCTATACCGTTGTGATGTTTGTCGTACAGCTGATATAAGTTTTCGCCCGTTTTGTCCGTCGCCGTGTCAGAGGATGAATCTCCCGACACTTCCAGTATTTCATTATCTGACGAAGTCATTGATGAATAATCGACATTCCAATCAGATTCTTCCGAACATATACTGTTTCGTTCTCTTTGTATTTTATTGTCGGTGGAATTGATTGGTCACCGCAGGATTTCACCATTTTTTTCCATTTTATGCAGCTTTCAATTACTGCTACTCAGTCGTTATAAAAATATATATA